ACACTGGATCCAAGGGATTGTTTGATAGGAGAGCAGAAGTTCATTGCTCTAACATATGTGTACTGCACCCAAGGCATGTACTGATTCAAGAGGGAATTGACAACAATGGGGATTTGTGGGGAAAGTGAGACAGAGACATACTTCTATGACTTCTGTCTATTGACATCTGAAATGGACCAAAATGAGATTTCCATTACCCACTTCATCCATTCTTATAATTAAAAACAGCCCAAATTACACTGAATTATGGCTACTATTGGTCTGATAGAGCAGATCAGCATGGTGACCTACAGTTAACTAATAGAGTCGATTTGGAGTTTCTATTCAACGATCCTGTTTGAAACCACTGCATATGATCATTATATCACTATATTCCTCGCAAATTATACCATGCAGATGCAAGTAAGGGAGCTCACACTAAATGGGATGATATAGAATGTGCTATATTTTGTGTGAAATTGAGGCTGTAAATGAGAGTAATTGTTATTGCTCCCCAATGCTATTTACAAAGTAAACTACTACAACGAATCTATTGCTGTTAGATTTTCATTTACTTGTGCTAATTTATGCTCAAGTTTTATAAGTATGTCCCTTTATGGTTAAATGGATGAATTTCATTGATAAATATATGATAGAATGTATGAAAAAACTACAGAATACAATTTGAAATTTCATTCAGTCGTTTAAATATGAATAAGGCTTCTTGCTACTAAAGTGATTGTAACTGATGGAAGTAGTTTCATACAACAAAGAGCCAAGGTCAGTCCCTCAAATCTCTAGTGCTAAATCACAAATATCCTCAGAACTAGACACATTGGGAGCCAAATTGTTATTTTCTGTATAATTTTGCTTTGTCTTATTAATAGATGTTTTTAAATTAAATTGCAAAATAATGCAGTTTTAATAGGTAAACTATATTAGATACTCTGTTGCTACTCTTAGTGTCTAATAATCTGCATGGTTTATGGAAACAGAATGGTACCACAGTCTGATGTTGTTAGGTCTATTTTCTCTTGGAACAGAATAATAATCCTTGCATTTAATATAATAATAATAATCCTTGCATTTGATATAGCGCTTTTCACGTCGGGAGGACGTCCCAAAGCTCTTCACAGAACACACTGTAAAATGAATTGACTGTATATTTGTGGGCGAACGCGGCAGCCAATTGCGCACAGCAATGTCCCACAAACAGTCGTAGATTGAAAATGACCAATTTATTATTCTTTTTGGTTTTTTGGAGGGATTATTATTAGGCTCTGTGTGGAGTAAGGAAACTTGCCCAAGGTTTCGCCCTCTGCCTGGAATTGAAATCGGGTCTCTCACTTGCAAAGCGAGTGCTCTAACCACTGAGCTACAGGACTCCACAAATATACCTTAGCACGTTGAAACATCTCAAAATGCTTCTCAGTAATTATTGCTAAGCGTATTGACTGTATTTGTAGGTGAACACAGCTACCAATTTGCATATAGCAGTGTTCCACAAATAGCCAGTTAGTGACTTGAGGAATGTTCAGCGCACTAAGAGAAGCATCTTTTCTTTTCAAAGGCTTTTTTTCACCATTGGCGGGAGAGCCTTCAGCCACTCTGCCCCAACCTCAGGAATTCCATACCCCAATCACTCCACCTCGCCCCCTCCTTAGCCTCCTTCAAGTCCCGCCTCAAAACCCTCCTCTTCAATCATGCCATCGGTCACCCCCCTTCCCCTCCCTTCTCCCCACGACCCCAGCTCGGGTCTGAAATGCTGTCTAGTGCCTTGGGACGTCCTCCCAACGTGAAAGGTGCTATACAAATGTAATCTTGTTGTTGTTGTTCAAATAGTGCTATGGATTCTTTAACATTCACCTGAACAGGCAAATGGGACCTCGACTTAATGTCCCATCCAAATGATTGCACCTGCAAGAATGCAGTACTCCTCCAACACTGCACTGGAGTGTCAGCCTAGATTGTGAGCTGTTGAGCTAAAAGTCCACAAACTAGGAGCACTGAATGAGGGAAACATAGATTGTTAGTCAGTGGGGGCTTGATAATACGTTTGATTCAATGTGGTTGCAGGTTGACCTAATAAACCATCTATATGAGTCCACAGGGCAAAACAAGTCACAATTCAGCATAATGTGGACAATGTTTACTGTCATAAGAATGGATGAGGGGCTAATGGACATGCCATCCTAATCTATATTCAGTGGCAGTGGGCGGAAGTTGTAGGAATGTGCAGAATTGGAAGAGAATCTGACCGGTCCAATTTTCAAACACTGTACCATCTTTCCACTTAACCCCTAACTTCCCATTACTATCAAATTGTTATCAAATTCCCCCTTGAAAATGCCCAAACCACCCACCTTCACTGCCTCCCAGGGCAGACTGTTCCATATAATAATAATCCTTGCATTTGATATAGGGCCTTATCATGTCTTCGAGACATCTCAAAGCACTTCACAAAATAGTAATAAATCATAATAATCCTTGCAATTTACTGTAAAGTGAATTGACTGTATATGTTGTAGGTGAAATGAGGCAGTCAATTGCGCACCACAGTATCCCACAAACAATCATGGATTAAGTGACCAAATTATTATTTACATTTTTTTAAGGGGTTATTCAATTTAAATTGTCTATTAGTGCTCCCTCTTTGGCATTTGAAGCCATTATCCCTTGTAGATTGTGTTGAATAAGGTCTGGTTTGGATAATCTAAAGCAGGATGATGGGTTTCTGCATGTGTCAGACACCCGGCTGTTCAAAATATGCAGAGTTTGTCACCGAGCCAGGGAGAGTGGGGAGGTGACCATGGGCATGATCGAAGGTGAAGGTCTCCAGGTATGAAGATGGACAAGGAACTATATCAGTATAGCTATATAAGCTACAATGGCCCTATATCAAATGCAAGGATTATTATTACTAAATTCTGAGCTGAACCCATTAGTTCTGTTCTGGGGGATCTCTACTATCTGCCCGTGCTGCTAGATCAGTTCTGAAAACTTTTTCCATCAATACAATACAACTTCCATTGATATAGTGTCTTTCAAATCACAAGAACATCTCAAAGGTGTTTTACAAAGTTGGATGTGCACCCAGGGCTAGGTTGGGTGGGGATCCGGGAGGGGTTGGCGGTAGAGGAAAAGATGCCCGTAATGTTCAAGGCTCCCTTGGATCAAGGCTCCCTTGGATCAATGCCCCCAATTTGATCTTTTGGAATCCTTCAGCTTGCCATTGAACAGTTCTGCTCTATACTTGGGTCATATTACTAGCTGAAGAAAAGAGTTGGATTACATCTGTGGATTTAAATTGATGCATTCAGTAGATAGTCATTTTCACTAAATAAAGAAATCAACTGAGAAGTTGGGTTGTTTACGATCCTCAAATGAAGCACCCAAGTTCAGGTAAGGTATTGAATTCTGATTTAACTCTTTCTATTGAGGAATGCTTGATACAGTCACAAAGTGCAGAAAGTACAGTGGACCTTATTACATTCACCCTTTGAGTGAAAAACTTCACAAATTCATTAATTTCAGGAATCCCAATACCTGCTCCTTACACCGTTGAAAAGAGGAGCAGGAGCTATTTAGCACAAAGGGAAGAAGTTGTTCCCCAGCTGAATTCTCTGTGTGTTAACTACCAACTAATTTCAATTATTCATTTTTCCTTCAGGCCAATAACGTTTCAACGATTCATTGTTCATTATCATTACCTGCTTCCACTTGGCTGAACTACACATTCATGTGTAATGAAGAAGTGGATTTTAATATGTTTATCCTGTGAGTTTTGTTTTTGTTGGAGCGGGAGCAGGGCTCACAGCAAACAAAATATCGGAAGAAGCACTTTCTGAACAATGACGTACTTGTTGGTTATAATTTATGTTGAATTGATCCTGGGAGTTGCAGCTTTATCAGTTCTGATTATGAACCTTAAATGTTGCATTCTGTTTGCATTCAGCCTTCAGGAAATTAAGTGAAAAAGATAGGAACTTCCTCACAGAATAACATTCAGTTGTAGGTCCCTGGGTCAAGCAAATGTTTTTTCTCAGTCTATCAGTTTGCCAAATTTATTAGTCTCTTGATTTTACTTTACTTTTTTGCATTGCAACAACAATGTAGGACAATCAGCCGGAATTCACCAAGATAGCTGGGTGTTACAGTGTGAAGATCTTTATGGCTGTCCTCAAATAGCTAAGTGCAGAAGCTTTGTTAATGTGTGTTCTGGTGCTATCTCACAGTGTCATTGGAGTCTGAAATATAGGTTAGGCTAAGCCCATAGGTTAACCATTCTGTGATTCTGTGTTCATATAGGTGCAGAAGCCCTTATAATTTGTGATTAATGACCTATCATTGGTGGTTGACCTTTCAGCCACAATGTTCTGGAACTCCCTCTCTACCTCTTTGGCTGTGTCCTCAGACACCTTCTCCCATTTCCCCCAACTCCCAATTTGTTCGGTAACCCACAGTGGACATGTTATTCTATTTGAAATAGTTGTAGAAATAATTCTGGCATTTGATAAAGTGCCTCTAATGTTGAACCATTGCAAAGCATTTGACAGAGAATTGCTATCAAGTGAAGTGACTGTTCTTGTATAGAAATGTGGCAACCATTTCACTCACAGCTAGGCCCCAGCAAAAAGCCATGTGACTAATTGATCCAGAGAATCAGTGGTCAGGACACCAAGAGAAACTTCCTTTTCTTATCATATAGTCGTGTTGTGGGTTCTTAAAACTCATCTGACCAGGTTTATGGAACAGGAATAAGTTTAAGTTGTTGTTGATGTTGAAAAGGACTGCAGAATCACTTGTAATGTTTTTCATTGGTAATTGTACAACTGACTGCTCCTGCATGATAGAAACATGGTTATGGGCTATTAGTCCAACATTTTAGACCCCAACATTGTTGTACTGCACTTAACGATGAAAGGCGTTTTTTGCATAGATGTCAATTTAAATGTGTGCGACAAAATGTACTAAAGAAAATGTATATTAAATACTAATTTCTTTTTGTGTTACCCTTTCAGATTTTCCATATGACATATGATTTTGCCAGCGCAGTGGTGAGAATATTTAATCTGATTGCAATGATGCTTCTGTTATGCCACTGGGATGGTTGTCTCCAGTTTCTAGTACCATTACTCCAGGATTTCCCCCCTGATTGCTGGGTGTCCCTAAATGGTATGGTTGTAAGTATTGTTATTTTTTTTTACCTGTATTCCTATTGTCAAGCTTATTAGTCAATGATTTTGTCATTCAAGGATCTTTTATTAATAACGACTGGATAAACTGGTTTGTTTTTCCCTGGAAAAGAGAATCTAAAGAGGACACCTGATAGTGGTCTCTTAAATTATGGGGAGTTTTAATAAAGAAACCAAGAAGAAATTATTTCCATTGATCAATGAGTCAGAACTTGATGAGGGCATAGGATTAAAATAATTACCAAAAGAACAAAGGGAGGAAACACTTTTTTATGCTGGGGGTTTGTTAACATTTGGAACATTTGATCTGGAACCATGGTTGATGCAGTATCCACACAAGCTTTAAGAGGGAATTAGATAAATATCTGAAAGGGAGAAGTATAAAAGGGTATTGCCAAAAGGGCTGGGGTTAAAGAGTTAATGTTAGCAATAGATTATTTTGACGAGCCAGCATAGGCACAATGGGCTGAAGGGCCTCTTTCCATCCTATAAATTTCCACAGTTCTATCTCTATGCCGGGATAAAATGTAACACATAGTTGGTCTTGATTTCTCACTTTGAATGGATGTTTTAAAGAGAAAAGAGATACTTGGGGAGTCAGTATTTCAAGGCGTATGGGGAAAAGGAGGTGAAAAGGGGATTAAAAGATCTGCCATATTCAGGACTCGACAGGATGAATGGCCTCCTGTTCCTATGTTCTATAGTTTAGCATTTACGGCCCGTCAAGAGCATATTCTTTCTCTGAGATGTTTCCTACTGTTAGTTCTTTCAGTGCCATTGCACTAGTTTGTGATATTATGTTCCTGATTTATATAGTGACTGCAGAATAATGGCACACCTAGTACATGAGAGCAGCATGCCTGAGACGAGCAGAGCTTTGGATAATGGAGCAAAAATTGCTGAGCCCACAATTTTATTTTAAACTTAATTTCTCATGTTATTTTTCCCCATGCTCGCGGTCTAATTCGTTATCTATTTATATCGCCTTGACACTGGGTTAAGAAAAATAGCACACAGTGGAGGGGTTGCAGGCCTGGCACCCTGTTTGTTTTATGAAAAGAAAAGATAAATTAGTACCACACACCAGAATACTTCTTACCCGCTACAGTCAGGCAGAAGAACTGTGCAGCTGGATGTGACAAGATTAGGAAAACTGAGAGGGAGCAGTAGACAGAAATCATTACATTGTGTTCCACATAAATTTTTGTTAATGAGTGCATTTGTCGAACCAAACCCCAAACTTCTTAATGATAAACTGTAATCCAAAATTTGGTTTGGGTTAATTAATGACAGTACAACTGAATAACATGGAGAGAGCTTAAGACAATAGAGTCCGTACACAGAAATCAGTTTTGATATTATTAGAATTATGGCGATGGAAATTTGTGGCCTTTCTTAATAACATTCAATGAATAAGGACATGGAGTTGCACAAATGGAGGCTTCTTCTAGTAACTGGAATAATTGGTTCGTGTGGGGTATAAACATCGGCATGGACGAGTTGGGATGATTGGCATGTTTCAGTGCTGGAGATTCTATGTAATTCACAATGACCTGGGGAGACTTTGGCTGAACCCAATCTGCTTCCGGAACTGAGTTTCCATGGATTGAGGGCTAATCTAATGTAATTCTGTATTAAGGAACAACATAAATAAAGCGAGGAAAATAAGACCTCTTTAAACTTAACGTATGAAGAGCTTAATGGGGATAAAAGCCCATTGATATATTGTGTACAAGTTGGGTTGAAAATTGAAGGAGAAAAACACCAGCCCCTTTGCTGCACTTCAGAAAGCACCAGTACCCATTCATGTCAGTAAGAAGCAGAAAAGCTTTGTCTTAGATCTTGTATCTAGTCATAGTTTTTCTCTCCCTTTTGTTGGATGGAGTCCACATTGGAAGATTGGGTGTTTAACTTTAACAGAAGCCAAGTTCATGCCAGCCTTTGCCTGCACAGTAACACTTATTCGGCTCCATTCAAGGCACATTTCAGGCCATGTTTATGTTGTTTCTTTTTAATATGTGCATCACAATTACAATTTTCTCCCACAAAATACATAGTCAATCCATTTTACAATATATTTTGAGAAGACTCAACCACGCGATAAGGTGCTATATCAAATGCAAGGATTATTATGATTATTATGACAATAGTAAATTGAGTTACTTTGGGTTCTCCATGTACGGCGATGTCTTGGAACACTTAACACGGACTGAGTTGGACACCAAACAAGAGAGAGGAGGGGTGCACTACAACAGCTTGAATTTATATAGTGCCCTTCATGTAGAATAAAGTCTCGGAGCACTTTATAGTGCTGTGGACAGAATTAAGCGAAGGGGAGGGGAGAAGGAGGAGGTGACCATAAACGCAGTCAAAGGGATAGATTTAACCTTCAGATGAAAAAAATGCACTCAATTGGCCTATGTATTGAGAAAAATAATTTGGGAAAACAATCGCACACCTTTCCGGAGTTTGGTTTTTTATGTTCATTAGGCAAGCACAAACATCACATTATATATGGCACGGATCTCTGAGGGATAATGATGGCCTCTATTCATCATCCAGAAATAATTCCCCACAGCACACAGTACGTGCAGCAGTGGGAGCAAGAGAAATTACAACTCCCACACTTAGGGCAGAACGGTTCTGAAGTGTCTGTTTTTCAAGTGTGACTGAAGCTGTTAGCTAAAGATCTGCTTGTTTACAGTCATTATCTGCAGTGTGAATTTAGCTGTGTTTGCATTTTCCATCGCTACCGGGTTCCTATTTGCTTTGACTCAGTTTACCCCTTGAGATGAAACCCCATTCAGTCTTGGCCTGTGAGACATTTTATATTAAGATTTAAGATTACGCAGATTTATAACAATAATAATAATCCTTGCAATTGATATAGCACTTTTCACGTCTTCTACACATCTCAAAGCGCTTCACAGAATATACTGTAAAGTGAATTGACTATATTTTGTAGGCGAAACGCGGCAGCCAATTGTGCACAGCAGTGTCCCACAAACAGTCGTGGATTGAGTGACCAATTTATTATTGGGTTTCTTTTTCTTGAGGGATTATTATCAGGCATGTTGAGTAAGGAAACTTTCCCAAGGTTTTGCCCTGCTGGGAATCAAACCCAGGTCTCTTGCTTGTGAGGCGAGTGCTCTACCACTGAGCTACAGGATTCCTAAAAGGACATTTTTTTAAATTCACTTTTAATCCCAAAGCTTGATTTCTCTAAAATTACCAGGAGGTCATTGCAACATAAAACCTTTTGTCAACTTGCCTCGATTGCTAGCAGTCTTGCTTCTGAGGCAGAAGGTTGTGTATTTAAGTCCCATGTCAGGACCTAGTTCACAGTCTAAGCTGAAAGACCAGTGCAGCGCTGGGGTAATGCTGCATTGTCAGAGATGCTGTCCTTCGCAGGAGACATTAAAAGCGAGATCCCGGCTGCCTTTTCAGTTGGATTTTAAACTTTCCACAGTACATCTTACAAAGAGAAACAGGTTTCTGATGTACAAGTCACTATCCCAGGGAAAAATTGTGGGCCTTATGGTGAAGACTCTTTCTCCACTGACATATTTTAATGGGAGCCCTGTCATCTTCCTGGGGAGAGTTAAAGAAGTCAGCAATTCCAGTAACACATTAGCAGCTTGTTGCTACCATTGACACACCATACGCTTACCCGTATCGAAAGTGTTAGTAACATCGTTCAAAAATATTAATTTACTTTATACCACATCCCAGCCAGCATTTTGTAATTCCAGCAAAGCAGGAATTGTGAAAAAATAGAGAGTTGAGTTAATATAATTTTAGGTACTGCTGAAAATGCACAGCGGGTCAATAAACATGTGAAAGCAAAAAGGTAGGTTAATAGGTAGGTTAATAGCTAAAGTGTCTAACTCCTCCATTTGTTGAGTAGCCAACTGTAAATTTTCAGCACTTACAATTACTTTCTTTTTTTTGCTTATACATTGGGGTCAAACGTGGGGCATTCGCTACTGAATTTGAAATGGTTCACAAATGTCAGTGCTGCTGATAATTGGGTGTGGGTATGATTGGATGCAGGAACTCGACCTGAGGTGTCTGGAGAGGACCATGTTCGATTCTGTGTTTGCATTTTCCATTGAAATTGAATTGAGTCCCTGAAAGCTAATTGCTGCCGGGGTCCTATTTGCTATGACTCACTTTAGCCCTTTAATCCCTAAATGCCAGGAAGCACTTTAGCTTCAAGCAAGAGGAGTTTCTGTGGAGTTCTGTTGTGATGTACATCCAGTTTGCTCCACAATCAGCCCGGCTCAGTTGGTAACACTCTTGCCTCTGAGTCAGAAGATCATTCATTCAAGCCTCACATAGACCATTAAACCTAGTACCATGCTGGGAAGCACTGCATTGTCAGAGATGCCAGAGAGGCAATCTTTAGATGAGAATTTAAAGCACAGTCCAGTCTGCCTGTTCAGGTGGATGTTAATTACCCACATGGCACTAAAAGTGCATTGAAAAAGAGAAAACTAGAAAGAAGTTTGTCTGGTGTCCTGGCTAACAATCCCCTGAGTTGGAATCCATTCGCAAATTATTACAGCCTAAAATTTCACCTAGGCTCAGCCTAAAGACCATTTTATCTTAAAGCAGAAGATTACCCAAGAACTGTGGGACATTCTTAACTTCATTTATAGTTTGGAAATCGTTTTCCCCCAGTTCTTAAGACAAACCATATTCATTTGAATGAGATATTCAAAATGATACAACAACTTGCATGTATATAGCAGCCTTCATACTAAATGCATCTAGGGAGAGCTTAGCAGTGGTGTGGTTTGATGCCCAGCTGGAAAGAGAGTTGATTGAAGGCATGGTTGAAGAGGAAAGTCTTCAAGTGTGATTTGAACGTGGGCAATGAGATTCAAAGTCTCAGGGAACAGTGGCTGGAAGAACCCTGTCAATGGTGGAGCAGAGGGGCCAAGGGACATGCAGAAGGCTCAAGCCAGCCGAGAGAAGGCAGCGGGTAGTGGAGTGGGGTGTGAGCAGATTGGAGAGATAATGAGCTGCCAAGTGAAGTGATTTGAAAGTGAGAGTGAGGATCATGAAATCAATATGTTAAGTAATTAAAGGAATTTGCAGATTCGATACGGGACAACTCTTCCCTTTGGCAGAGGGATTAATTTCAACGGGAGGCTTAATCTTAAAGTTAGAACCAAGATGGTTTGAATGGACGTTAGAGAGCATTTCTTCATGAAGAGGGTTGGGAAGATGTGGTATGTTCTGTCCAGAAAGCTGTAGAGATGGAATCAATAGGGATGTTTTATAAGAGAGACACTGGCTAGAAGTATAAAGTGATATAGCAAAAGGTTGGGGCATTAAGATTAAAAGATCTGCCAAGATCTAATAAATTGGTGGAATAGGCTTGATGGGTTGAATGGTCTCCTCCTGCTTATCTTGTTTTCCTATATTCCTAACCAGCTTCAAAATTAAGATTCAATTTAAGAATTTTACACAGTTGTGCACAATCTAAAATGTTATGGCAAAATAGTCTTACCAATTAAGAGAATATTTCCTCCATAAAATAAATGCCCTTCATAAATTTTTCATGAGATTGTATTATCCTGAATTCAAATCTTCTCAAACTTTTATAACCAGGAATTTATGTGGGAGAGATCATACTTGTTAGAAGGGCATTGCCTTGTCCTGTAATCTTCCTGTAGCCAAACCTGTCATTTGTTCCTCAGTCACACAGTGAGTCATCATGGGTTATCTGGTACAATAATAATAATTAATAATAATAATCCTTTGCTTCCCAGAATGTACTGCAAAGTGAATTGACTGTATTTTGTGGGGGAAAGATATCTGGTCAAATCAACGTCGCAGCATACAAGAAGGCCATTTATTTCATCGAGCCTACACTGGTGCTGGCTCCAGCACTGGAGCTAACTGCTCCACTCCTTGTGTTTTGCTCATACTCTTTTATACTGTTCCTTTTCAAATATTTATCCACTTGTTAAATACATTAGAGCTGATATATACTAATGAACCAATAGACATTAGCCACTTGAAAAATACCAGTCTATCTGTAATGAGAATAGTAAATAATAATAATAATCCTTGCATTTGATATAGCGCTTTTCACCTGTTCTGGACGTCCCAAAGCGCTTCACAGAATACACTGTAAAGTGAAATTGACTGTATATTTGTGGGCGAACGCGGCAGCCAATTGTGCACAGCAATGTCCCACAAACAGTCATGGATTGAAAATGACCAATTTATTATTGTTTTTGGTTTTTGGAGGGATTATTATTAATAATAATATTATTATTATTAAACCAATGTCTTTACATTGCCACCCTACTATTAGACAAGCATGAAAATATACCTAACCTATATAACTTATAAGATTTTAAATGGAACTCAGAACAATAGTTTTGAATGTACCAAAACAGCAGAACAGGAGGACACAGTTCAGGGTTGATAAGGGCAATTTCAGGACAGGCACTCGGAAATATTTTGACTGTAATTAATGAGGGGAATAAATTACCAGGAACAGTGGATGAGACCAGGACCCTTGGGTAATTTAATAAACAGTTTGATGCTATGATGGGAAGGCAATTGGTCGAGTATTCTGGAAGAATGAGATCAGATGGGTTTCTTCATCTGACCTTCTCTTGCGATCTTGTGAACCTATTGCCCCAAGGTGAGAGAGGTTGATGTTTACAGCGCTCCAGTGAGAAGGTATTAAAAAGCAATGCAAGATGAAGAGGGTAACTTCTAGGTAAGTTCCTGTCAGTGTCACCTTTTTTAAGGAGTGATGATGGGGAAAAAAGGGGCCATTATGTATGTTAAAATGGAAAGTGATGTTAGTTAGCTGGGCAAGACAGACGCTACATGGTACAGTACTTGGGCTTGAGGGGCGCTTTCAGAATAGGTCAGGCTGTCCTTGTGGTATGACTAATTTATGAGTTCATTCTTTATCTTTATCTCTCTAAGTATGAAAAGCAAGAGGAAGATACGTATTACATGGATTATTCATACTAATTACAAAAACACCCATTAACCCTATAAAGCGCAGAGATGCATGTAAAGAGACAAGGATAATATACCCCATTATAATTATGCTCTATTGATGTATGCCCCTCATATACATAAACAACCTAAGGATAACAATTTTGGATGCTTCTTATTGGAGTTAATGTTATATCAAGTTATATCAAATGACATGTTACAGGAACAGGCCATTTGGCCCAAGTAATTTGTATCACGAGACTCAAACACTACCCAGTAGTGTTTTTATCATTTTGGTCACCCTCGATGTATTTCGATACATCAGAATTCCTTTAAAATATACTGCGACCAGTGTCAGTCTTTGGTCTCAATTCAGTTTGGTTGAACTATACTGCCCTGTTAAACTGCATCGGATGATAAGATCTGTAAACCAGATTAAAGTTGAGTAGGTTACTCTTCGCCTTTCATGGTGACTGGAAACTAATGGTTTTGCAGGCCGTATTGACGCTAGTTGGAAGGTACATTTTCTCCTCTATTTCACTTAGGATCAATTCAGAACAGATGGTCGGAAAATTAGAATTGCAACATCAGTATTTTTGCATGACACATCCACCCATATATTATCGTATTTTTATCATCAATTCAGCTCCATGTACAGTACAGATCTGTCTATACTGTTCCTTTCTTCTATTCAGTATGAATCTGAACTACAAAGATCTAAAGAGTCTCAGCTTGGAATCCCATCCTCTGCTGAGTTAGTTGATCTTGGGCTGGGGTAGTGGGGCAATAGTGGGGGTCCAATTGGCCTTAGTGCCCAGGGCTAGGACATCTGGGGAACATGGGCCCCATTCATCGCTATCCATTGACCCCTGATGAAAAGTACACATGTGTAGGCATTGGGTAAGATGAGATCAAGCTCAGCTAAAATGTCCAATCCCTACTCTGCCAATTTCCCCCCACCCCCACACTCTGCTTCATGGTAGAATATCTTGTTATCACTGAGAGTCTAGGCTCACTCGTAAAGAATTGCCACTTGGGCAGAGGCTTGGAAGTCAGCCAGCAACTGTAGACCAATAACCCAGGGAGAATCAGAATCAGAACATTCAGCAAAGGGTGTGTGAGGGATCCCAGCTACGGCTGTCTCATCTATGTATGTATCTTGGTCCGAATCAAAGCACAGGGATGTATTTATATCCGTTGGCATAGTTTTGTGTGACTGAGGCGATTAATCGCAAAAAAGAGAATTAAGTCTGGGTGAAGCAGCAGAGAGGAAAATGAATGAGATATGAAGGTATAGGTGGGAACAGAATTATAGTAACAGATTGTGCTCTACAACTTGAACTACTAAGCTTAAAAAATCAGAACAGAACAGTGGACACTAAGTCTCTGAAGATCAGGCAGCATCTCTCAGGCATGAAGGATATGTTGGCTCAGGAATCAGTGATCCATTACACTTCTAATAATAAAATGGAAAATAAACTCTTTCGTAACTTTATGCTGACTGGGTGAATTTGTGTTTCTTTTCTCTCCCTCCCTCCTACCCCCTTCCCCTGTGCAGAATGATTCATGGGGGAAGCAGTATTCTTACGCACTGTTCAAAGCAATGAGCCACATGCTCTGCATAGGTTATGGAGCCCGGGCGCCTGTGACTATGTCTGACCTCTGGATAACGATGCTGAGCATGATCGTGGGAGCCACGTGCTATGCAATGTTTGTCGGCCACGCCACCGCCCTCATCCAATCTTTAGACTCCTCACGACGACAGTACCAGGAAAAGGTAAGAATAGAAACACAAACTGTAATGTTTTACACTCCATGCCTAATTGGATGGTAATCTCTTAAACATCTCACATTTAGGAGCTGCTGTTCTGTGTTCTGGAGTGCGCAGGCTGGAAAGCCCAAGAGTAAAGATAAGACAAAGACAGCTTGTGTATTGACAGCACAGGTGAAACCTCCATCCGCGCACACACATACACTCTTCACTACCATTTTTTTTCACAGAGAAGTACAATAGCAGAAAGATCTTTGTTGCATCTCTGGAAAATAGTCCAACTAGATTTTTTTGTGCACTTCAGACATAGATTTGCTAAATATGGATTTTCGTTGTCTTCATTTGTGTCCGCTTATTTTTTTGAGAAATGACAGCCCTTGCAATGCATGTAATGATAGATGGATTGTTACTGTGGTGCATAAATCACCCACTGCTCAATAACAGGAGTGTGTGGTTCATTCCCGGAGTTATTTGATCTAATCTGAATGCTAAATGGGTATCCTCGCAGTGAACCAGCCTGATTTATCAGCTTAACAGCAACAGTTTGCGTCATCCAACCACTTTGCCCGGACTTTGACTTGGATTTCAAAAGATAATCAAAATAAAGTGTTTGCTTTGTGAAAGATGGTGAGAAATCATTCAAGAGGTGTTGATAAAACATTGGCTGTACTGTGACCGTCCCCCAGACAACACTTATAATAATAATAACAACAATAATAATAATCTTTGCATTTGATGTGGCATCTTATCACGTGAAAACATTTTAAGCCACTTCACAGAGTTTTTCTATAAAGTGTCGTGACTCTATTTGTAGGCAAATGCAGTAGCGAGGTTGTGCTCAGCAACATCCCCCAAAAAGCTATAAATGACCTTTTTTTAGCCTTGAGACCAAGGCACTTGGGGGAAACTCCATTCTCTTTTTCAAATCGTGCCGTGGGATCTTTAATGTCCATCTGAACAGACAGACTCACCAGAAGGACAGCTCCTTTACCAATGCATCGCTCCCCCAGCACTGCATTGGAGCATCAGCCTAAACAATGAGTTCAAACATGGGGTTTGAACTCACAACCTTCTGGCTCAGAGACAAATATGCCACCAGCTGAGCCAGGCTGACATAGTAGTTTATTTCTTGCTATTCCAGGAGCTAGCCCTGGCTTCAGAACTCCCTACTGGATGTTGATACAATTTTAGCACTTGCTCACAGTGCAGCGCAACAAGCTGGACGTTACAGAATTTTTGCAATGATGGAAATTTTGATATTTTGGCTATTTGCTCATTACCCCTGGCACCCTTTAAGCTGTGCCTTGTGCAATTGTCAGAAACATAATTAAAATAATCCATACATTTGACACAGCACTTTCATGTCAGGAGGACAACTCAAAGCACTTCACAGAGTACACTGTAAAGTGATATTACTGTATTTTGTAAGTGAAAACAGCTGACAAATTGTGCACAGCAACGTAAAAGCCCCTTTATTACCCAAAAAGACAAAACATGGTATCACGTCTTTTTGAAACTAGAGTTGAACATCACATTTGGGCAAGGTTTTTTTTAAAGCTACAGATTATCTATACTCACTCACTAAGTGTTTAGAGGCATTAAGGTCTTCAAGTAATAGATGGACTTTAGCATGTAAGAGCTACAAATGGAACCTATTCATTCCATTGGAATTTGCCAGTCTGCATTGTCAACAAGCCAACAGATGGTACTAATGACCAGGAACAGGAGTGAAGCACATGTCATGATAAAGGTATTTCTCAAACCTACTCACAATTAGTGGTTGCACGAAAGGAGGGCATGCCAATGGTCAGAGCTTTGAATTCAGTGTATGCTTCAACAAACAAATAAGGACATTTGAATTCAGCATCCGTGCTGGTGAAAAATTATGATTTGGTGCTTGGCTTACAAGAAGCTCAGGTTCACAGTGTGAACCTGAGCTGAATGAATAACAAATGTAGACCCAGTTCATACAGTGAGAAGTGACAGCTGTCAAGGCAAGGAGTCTAAAGCCATTACACACTGATTTCACTCCCAGAGCTCAAGCGAAATGAGATGCAAACAAAAGCTTTTTTTTCAACTGAATCTCGAGTAGGATTGGCAAATTGCAACATTCAAAAAATGTCAGAGGGCAAAGAGGTCACATCTGGATGTAAATTGTGCCATAACTTTTGTGTGTCGGAATGACTCATTTGCCAAAAGAGTTAAAGTCACTTGTTCTCTGATTGACATGAACTCTTAGCAGATAATTTTATTCATGAGCAAAGGTTGAGAATTGTTTTCTAGGAATGTGTTATTTGCATCCGAGTACTTGGCAGGCTGTTTAATAAGCCACCGCATTGTCATGTTAACAAATGACATTAATAAAGGGAGAAGAGTAATGTTTGGATTATTGGTTTGTAAAGTCAGTGAATAGTTCAGCCACACATTATGACAGAAATATCTACTCTACTTACTGGCTGCTGCAGCTGCTCCAAAGAACATAAAAGCTAGAGATTTAAAGGTATCTGCTTTGATGCTGACTGATTAAATCATAATAATCCACAGAGACATTACTGTAGAATAGTAGTGCAGTCCAGCAGCGAAGTCCGACTTGCTCATCAATTGAGGGCTTCTCGTTACTTGCTCAGTATTAAGTGCAGTAAATTTGTAGGGCATTAAAGTTAAAGAGGGAAATGCTATAGGGAGTGATTTCTTCACAGAGTACTCCTCCATCCATATTATTTTGGAAAGAATATTTAACACGGCTTCCTACACTATAAGTGTTTTATCGGTCTATCGGCAACATTTTTCTACTATGGGTTTGGGCCGTCTGGCCTACCAGAGACAATGGTCTATAGAGTATCCCACCTCCATCCTTCAACAAGCCATTGCATTCTGAAAGCAGCCAGCATATTGGACAACAACAACAAAATTACATTTATACAGCACATTTCACATCAGGAGGACGTCCCAAGGCGCTGGACAGTCAGGGGTCATGACCCGAGCATGGGGGAGGGGTGGGATAGGGGTGAGGGAAGGCAGAGAGGTGGGAGGGCGACTGAAGGTACAATCAAAGTGGAGGGTCTTGAGACCGGCCTTGAAGGAGGCAAGGGAGGAAGAGAGGTGAAGGGATTGTGGGATGGAGTTCCAGAGTGTGGGGGCAGAGTAGCTGAAAGCCCGGCCATCGATGGTAGGGCGGGTCGGGAGGGAGATATGGAGCAGGCCGGAGCCCGCTGAACGGAGAGAGTGGGTAGGTTGGTAGGACATCAGCGGGTCAGAGAGGTAGGAGGGGGCAAAGCCATGGATGGCCTTGAAAATGAGGACAAAGATCTTCAATTCGTTCCTCTGAGGGATGGGGAGTCAGTGGAGTCGGGCGAGGGTGGGAGTGATAGGGTCACAGAGCGTGATGTACGAGAGTAAAAAAAGCTGCAGAGTTTTGGATGATCTGCAGCTTGTGAAGGGAAGACTTGGGAAGGCCGATGAGGAGGGAGTTTCCATAATCGAGCCTTGATGTGACGAATGCTTAGGTGAGGCTTTTGGCAACCTGAGGAGTGAGGCAGTGGCGGAGTGGCAATGTTGCAGAGGTGGTGGTAAGCAGTGCCGGTCATGGACCAGTCCAAAAACTGATATTAACACATAATAATAATAATAATAATGATAATCCTTGCATTTGATATAGCGCTTTTCACGTCTTCTAGACGTCCCAAAGCACTTCACAGAATATACTGTACAGTGAATTGACTTTATGTTTGTGGGCGAACGCAGCAGCCAATTGCGCAGAGCAATATCCCACAAACAGTCGTAGATTGAAAATAACCAATTTATTATTGTTTTGTTTTGGAGGGATTATTAATAGGCGTGTGGAGTAAGGAAACTGCCCAAGGTTTCGCCCTGCCTATGAGCTAGAAGAAACGTTTACAATTGTTACAAGGTGTAGCAGAATGCCCACGCCGTGCTTAAAATACTCTCAGTCTCTCCTTCAAGATTAAGTCATTTGAGTGTCAGTTTGCTTCACTTCGTAGCACTTTCGCCCTTAGGGTTATGAATTCAGTTTTGAGCTCATAGACAGAGCTGATAGTTCTGTGGGGGTTTATCTGCAGGCTGATAGTCCTGGGGAGTGTGACCTTGTCAGAGGTGACCTTCGGTTGAGATATTACGACTGTTTGCTAAATCCTTTTTGTTTGTTTTCATGCTAGCCGTTAAGATCCATTGACACTATTCCAAAACAAGAAGGGAACTTCTCCCAGAGTCCTGGCCTCCAAATTTCCCAGATTGATTGGTTATTTGCCTAATACTTGTTTGTGGGGCATTTGCTGTGGGCAAAATGGCTGACGCATTTGCATACAAAACAGTCACTACACTAGACAGTACTTGGTTTTGAAATGTTTGTGTCAGAGCCAGAGTGAGAGCCAGAGTGGGGGTGAAAGATATTAGAGTCGGAGGGAGGTGACCGAAAGCTCAGTCAAAAAGATAGATTTTTTGCAGAATTTTGGAAGTTAAGAGCAAAGCAGAGAGACAGTTACAGAGATCAGATGTAAAGTGACTGAAAGTGTGTTTGCAAACACATAGGTGAAAACATGAGACAGGCCTGAGTTATTAGTGGGTTAAGCAGGAGGAACATAGGAGATCATGGAGCTAGAGTGAGGCGAAGAGATAGGGGTTAAAATTTAGGTCAAGGATTTGCAAGTCAATCTGCTGGGGAAGAGGGAGCTAGTGGAGTCTGGTAACTTTGGGGGTGATAAGCTTGGATGATGTGGGAAAGCATCCAGGTTGCGGAATTTTGGATAATTCAGAGCTTGTGGAGGATTGAGCTAGGAAGGCCAATGAGAAGATCATTGGAGTAATCAAGGTTGGAGGTGATGAAGACATGGATGGGGATGAGGTAGAGATGGAGACGGGCAATATTGCAGAGATGGGAGAAAAGTGAACTTGCTCAGGCACCAGATGAAAGGCTTAAAGCAGAAGTGCAAGTCAAAAAAATTGTGGATATTGTGTAAATTTGATATGAGGACAATTAAAAACGGCAG